AAAAAAAACACGGTAAGCACTCTATCCAGAAATCAGGTGCTTGCTAATTTTCCATGAATTTGCTGTCATTAAATATTAGGGGGTTAGGCGGATGGGGGAAGAAAAGGGAGATAAGAGAACTGGTGATAAAACACAGGGTAGAGGTTTTGTTTTTGCAAGAAACAAAAATGGAAATAGTTCATAGAAAACTATGTAGGAAACTCTGGGATTCAGATAACATGGAATGGGTGGCAAAATCTGCAGTAGGAGCCTCGGGAGAATTAATTATCATCTGGAACAGTGAAATAATCAAGAAGATGGATGTTTTTGAAGGGGAGGGGTTTATAGGAATTCACTGGTTATGGGGTCCAAATGAGTACCCATGTTTTTTGTGTAATGTGTACTCTCCATGCGACTTGATAAAAAAGAAAATTTTGTGGAAGGATCTGGAACAGCTGATAAGAAATTACACGGGGTGCTGGTGTTTAGGGGGGGATTTTAACGCCATCAGATGTTCCCAAGAAAGTAAGGGGGGTAAGAGCGTGAGGAGAGACATAAAGGGTTTCAAAGAGTTCATTGTGAATAATGGCTTGCTGGATCTACCTCTACTAGGAAGGAAGTATACATGGTACCAACCAAATGGCCAGTGTATGAGTCACCTGGATAGATTCTTATTCAATGATGAATGGCTATTGAAATGGCCTGATCTAAAATAGTGGGGACTTCAAAGATCTCTGTCCGATCATTGTCCGATATTGGAAAAAAATGAGATAAGGAATTGGGGACCAAAACCATTCAAATTCTTCAATGCCTGGCTACATACCCCGGGGTTCACAGATATGGTAACAGCAAAATGGAAGGAGTTAAAACTTCAAGGCTAGGGCGGATTCATTTTAAAGGAGAAATTGAAGATGACAAAGGATTTTCTCCGAGTGTGGTCAAAATCCAATATACAGGAAGTGGACAGAAAAATTAAGCAGGCCAGGGAGGAGATAAACAGAGTTGATAGCAACGGAGAAACAAGCAACTTGTCAAATGAAGACATTATCGCTAAGAGCTCTCACTACACTGAGTTGTTAAAGAATATGCAGTTGAAAGAAGAGATGGCTCAACAAAAAGCACGAAAAACTTGGCTGAAATCAGGAGATGCTAACACCAGTTTTTTCCACAAATGCATCAGAGGAAGATGGCGGAGAAACGAAATAAATGTAATTTCTGTAGAAGGCAAAGAGTTGAGAGAAGTTGAAGACATAAAGCAAGGTGTTATGAAGTATTTTGCAGAATTATTCATTGATGAGGGATGGCAAAGACCGACCTTAGAAGGGCTGAGTTTCAAAACTATTTCAGAGGAGGATAGACGCATGCTCATTCAACCTTTTACAGAAGAGGAGGTAAAAGCTGCGGTATGGAATTGTGAAAGCACCAAAGCACCGGGTCCAGATGGTTTTACTTTCGGTTTTATAAAAATTGAATGGGAGGTCATTAAAGCAGATATCAGGGACTTTCTCATGGATTTTCACACAAATGGAAGGATAGTAAGGGGTTCTAATGCTTCGTTCCTGGTTTTGATACCGAAGAGAGAGAATCCTCAAGGCATTGAAGAGTATAGACCCATTTCCTTAATTGGATGCATGTATAAGATTCTTGCCAAAGTGTTAGCTAACAGACTCAGCAGAGTATTAAACACAATTATAGGGGAGAATCAATCTGCTTTCATCGAAGGAAGACAATTGGTTGACAGTGTTGTTGTTGCAAATGAAGCAATTGATGACGTGAGGAAGAGGAAATCCCGGTGTTTTGTATTCAAGATTGATTTCGAAAAGGCATATGATAAGGTGAGCTGGTCTTTTCTGGACTACATGATGGAGAAAATGGGATTCGACAAAGTATGGCGGGAGTGGATAGCTGAATGTTTAAGATCAAATACTGTGTCCGTGTTACTTAATGGAAGTGCTACAAAAGAGTTCTCGATGTCAAGAGGGCTTCGACAAGGAGATCCACTATCTCCATTTCTGTTCTTAATGGTAGCAGAAGCACTAAATGGACTAACTTCGGCAACAGTAGCAAAGGGTTATCTTCGTGGAGTAAAAATAGGAAAGGGGGAGTTAGAGATTAGCCATTTACAATTTGCAGACGACACAATCTTTATGGGTGAGGCAACCGAAGATAATATATGGATGATTAAATGCATCATGAGGGCCTTTGAATTGGTGTCAGGCCTGAAGGTAAATTACAAAAAAAGCTCTTTAATTGGAGTCAATACTAGTGAAGAATGGACTAGAAAAATGGCATGGTTGCTGAATTGCAAAACTGACTCCTTTCCTTGCAAATATTTGGGCATGCCATTGGGAGCAAATCCAAGGAGAATAGATACATGGAAATCCAAGGAGAATAGATACATGGAAATCCATAATCGAAACCTTCAGAAGAAAACTATCAGTCTGGAAAGGAAAATTCTTGTCTCTTGGCGGAAGAATCACCCTCATAAACTCTGTGCTGTCCAGCTTGCCAGTGTTCCTAATGTCGCTATACCTTCTCCCTAAACAGGTAATTCATGAGCTTGATAAAATTAGAAGAAATTTCTTATGGGGAGGAGTTGGGGGAGGTAGAAAGATAGCTTGGGTGGCTTAGGAGAAGGTCTGCTGCAGAAAAAAAGAGGGAGGTTTAGGGGTAAAAAATCTTAGATGGTTTAATATGGCATTGCTCGGGAAATGGTGGGGGAGATTAATAGGGGGAGATAAGGGTTTGTGGTCTAGGGTGCTGTTAGAAAAATATGGTGGCAAGGGAGGAAATTGGATATCATGGATGAAAGAGGGCAGGGGAATAGGATCACCATGGTGGAAGGATATTTGCAAATTGAATACAGGTTTAGGGAATAAGGATGGATGGTTGCTCCCAAATTTCAACTTAAAATTAGGGGATGGGACAAGTGTCAAGTTCTGGTTAGATGTATGGGTGGGTGAGGATTCTTTAGCTAATGTGTTTCCGAGACTATTTTTGCTGGACATAAACAAAAACTGCAGCATCTATGATCGAGGACAATGGTCTGATGGAGGCTGGTGCTGGAGACTCCAATGGAGAAGACCAATCAGAGCATGGGAGGAGGAAAACCTACAACAATTGATTGGGACCATAAATCACATAAAACCAGTTCGAAACGTGAAAGACACATGGAGATGGAGGCCTGACAACGAAGGAAAATACACCACAAGGTCAGCTTATGAGCAGTTGGCAAAGAAAGAGGAAAGTACACTAATGGAGTACAAAAAGATATGGAGTGCGCAAGTCCCTTCAAAAGTGAGCGCTTGTCCATGGCAAATGCTTCTGGACAGAATTCCCACAAAGGTCAACTTGGCAAAGCGGGGCACTATGGATAACAACCAAGGTATAAAATGTTTTTGGTGTGATCAGTTCCTTGAACATATAGATCATCTTTTTGTGTCATGCAATATCTCATTCAATTTATGGTCTAAATGTCTAAATTGGTGGGGATTATGTTATGTTCTTGGGAATACTTGTCTTGATGTTTTCAACCAGCACAGATGGCACAAGGGCTCAAAAATTATGAAGAAAGGCTGGAATATGGTATGGTTCACAATAGTATGGTCATTGTGGTTGTCTAGAAATGAAACAGCCTTTCAACACAAGAAGGT